CAAGTGTGGCAGATGGTGAGGGTTGTTGTCTTGGCCGCAGGCGATGTCCCCTGACGGGGAGGCCATTGTCACAGGAGCTGGGGACGAGACCCTGCGCTTCTGGAACGTCTTCAGTAAAACTCGCTCCACAAAGGTAAGGCCGTGGGGGGGGGGGGGGGGGGTGCTCAGGGGGGGAACTCGGGGCACGTTGGCTCTGCTCTGCTGCCTTCCCTCTGATCCCTTCACTGCATCCTGCAGATCAAGGGCCAGGGGCAGGGGAGGGTTCAACTTTGCTGAGATTTAATGGATTTGTCATCAGATGAAGGAAAAGGTCACCCCGTGTGCCCAAGGCAGTGTGACACAACATCCCTGTCCAGGCTGGTCCAGGGCTGCTGAGCAGCGTTTTTGGGGGGCTCACCCTGAGCCCACCATCTTCCTGCTGGTGTGTGGCTGTGAGCTGAGCCCTCAGGGGTGACAGCAGGCTGGGACCTCAGTCTGGAGAAGAGAAGGCTCTGGAGAGACCTGAAGCCCATCCTAGTGCCTAAAGGGACTCCAGGAGAGCTGGAGAGGGACTTTAGACAAGGCATGGAGGGACAGGACAAAGGGGAATGGCTTCCCACTGCCAGAGGGCAGGTCTAGATTAGATTTCAGGGAAAAACTCTTCCCTGGGAGGGTGGTGAGGCCCTGGCACAGGTTGCCAAGAGCAGCTGTGGCTCCCCCATCCCTGGAAGTGTTCAAGGCCAGGTTGGATGGGGCTTGGAGCCACCTGGGCTAGTGGAAGGTGTCCCTGCCCGTGGCAGGGGGTGGGATGAGATGAGCTTTAAGGTCTCTTCCAACCCAAACCATTCTGTGCTTATCCAGTGGCTCCTTATTAAACTTCTTAAAATAGGATTTTGGATGGAAATGGGGTCGTGGATGCTGCCAATGACAGTTCACCATCACCAAAGGCGGGTTGTGCCTGGTGTTCCGAGAGCTTTTCTGGGCAGAGGGATCTGGAGGATGGGGCTGGGGGGAGCTGGCACTGCTGCTGGGGGTCCCCCAGTTGCTGCCTGCTCTGGGACAGAGCTGCCTGCAGAGCTGTGGGAACAGCACACTGGTCTGCTGTGCTCCTTGTTATCAGTTGGAAGTAACCCATGGGAATATTTATGGTGTTGGACTTTGGATGGTGAGCTGGGATCGTGCCCTGAGCTAGAGATTCCTCCCCAGATTAAAAACAAACCCAAAAGCACGTGGAGTTACAGCTGTGGAGGACTTACCCCCTGCTTTGTCTTCTCAGGAGTCTGTGTCCGTGCTTAACCTCTTCACCAGGATACGATAAACCCTCTCCCTGCACCCCAGGAACCTACAGCCTGACATTCCAGGATCAGACCACTCCCTCGGCCTGCATGGACCCCCGGAGCCCAGCCGAGGGGAGGGAGAGCTGAGGGACTGGAGGAGGACCCAGCTCAATAAATACGTGCTTGTGATCCACGCTGGGCAGTATTGGGGATGGGGTGGGGAGGGGAGGGAACTGCCAAAGGTTTGTGGATTCATCTTTCATAAAGGGAAACGGGTACAAGAGAAATGTTAACCCAGCATCCTCCAGCCCTCCGGATGGAACCGGGGAGGACTCGTGTGACATGGACCACTGAGACCGGACTGAGGCCATCCCCACGGCCGTGGTGTCCCTCCTGGGAGAGAGGAGCATATCCTTGCCGCTGTGGGAAGGGGTTTGACGTGCTGCTCTGGGTCCCTGTGTCCTTGGTGACATCTCTGGAGGCAGGAGCCAGCCAGACTGGGCCGGTACCACTGGTGCAAGTGGACACGGCTCCAGCTGGGCATCGAAGGGCTTTGTTCATAGCCTTTGTTCATCCCCATTCCAGGAAGAAACTGGAGAACTGCCTATTTTCCTTTGTTTTTTTTTCTTTATTTTTTCACCCAGACAGGTACTGTAGTACTTGACATAATCATTCCCATAAGACAGCTTGATTTTTCTGGCGTGCTTGGCAGCTGCCTCTGAACAAATACGTTTTGGGGCTCTAAACTTCGGAGGAGACTTGGAAAAGCTTTACCTCCGAGGGAGCAGATTCGGGAAGTTCTGCAGGTGCTCTTGCATGTTCTGGGCTGATCCTGTGAGTTACCAGAGAGGAGAAACAAGGACTGTATAAAAAAAGAAACCCAATCCCCCCGTGCATGTGGAGCTTCCCCCAGTGCCTTGCTCCAGAGTCTCCCTGAGGCCAGAAGCAGTTGGGATATGTTTGAGAGCCAAAACAACTCCCAAGGATCTGATTTTTGGGGCGAGCAGGGCCTCTTCTGGCTGGAAGAGGGGTTCTAAAGCAGGGCTGCGTTGTTGCTTTTTGCTGTCTCCAAGTCCCAGCCAGGGCCCTGCTGTTGGGTTTTGGTGTGTGGTTTTTAGGTCATGTGGGACGAGAGTTCAGCTGGTGTTGGAGCCCGTGGGGTGACACAAACGCTTGTGTGTGTGTGTGTTGCTTTTAATTTAAGAGGAGCTGTGAGGCTGCACAGCCTGTCCTGTCTGACGTGTGTATGTGCCTGCCCTGCCCGGGCCCTGCCTGCCTCCTGCCCTTTCCCAGCACTGCTTCCTGTTCCCGTGTGGAATTCCCTGGCTGTGTATATAGACCTTGCCCTCTCTCTGTAGATTACGTAGGTAATGCTTTCCTCTCTCTTTCTTTGTTGGTTTTCCTCCCCTCCCTTCTTTCCCTAAAACCAGGCAGTAGGAATACGATTGCCTTTCCCCAGTACCACCAGTACCCTTAGGGTGAGCTGGTACAGCCTGTTCACCACAGCCTTGACCACACGTGCCATCACAGCAGTGCCTGGATCAGGCTCTTGGTGCTGCCCCCGTGTTGCAGCTGCTGGAGGCACTGGTGAGGAGCTGGTGTGCTGGGAGCCCCCTTCTCCATACAGCCTGGCAGCTCTGAGTCTCCCAGGCCCACAACCCACCTTGTCATCTCATAGTCTTGCTTGCCACTAGGATGGATTTTCCATGGAATTTCTGAAACACAGTTTGAACACAACTGCTTTAGTGTAGCTCTGGCTGTGGGATTTGGGGCTCGGTGTGAAGTGACACCCCCCCATCCCGGGTCTCTGTTCCTTTCACAGGCACTGTTCCACATCACTGTGGGTTGGGAGCACCCAGGAGTGTTAAATTGAGTCAGATCATTAAGTTGGGGAGTAGGTTTGAAGGAAAGGTTCACCTGCAGCAAGAGGTGGTCTGTCATGGGTGTCACCACTTGGGAGTGGGGCTGTGCACAGGGGGCCTGGGGGGGCTGGTGGCTGTGCTGTGGATTTTCCTGTCTCTTGTGCATTGCCTCCTGCCAAAATCCCACTGTGCAGACCCCCAGGACACACTGCTTTCTCCTCTGGGAAGGAGTAGTCACTTGGGATGGGGGCACACAGGAGGTCTCAGCCTGGTTTGTGCCCGTGCTGGAGCAGGAGAGAGTTGGGTCCCAGCTGGAGCACAGGGTGGGTGATGCTGGTGGGGCTCCCCAGTGTTCCAGGGCTCCTGCAGGGATGGGTTTGCCTCTCAGCCTGTGATGTGGGAGCTTCCCCAAGGAGCCCCAGGAGTTGCTGGGGTGGGGGGCAGTGCCAAGTGGGCGCTGCAGCCTCTGCCCAGTGCTCCCAGCTGCGCCCCAGGATGCTGCAAAGCAGGGACACCCCCTTGTCACTGTCCCCCACCATTGTCCTCTCTGGCCAGGGTCTTTCCCAAACTACGTCTTGCTTCCATGTCGCGCTTTTCTCTGCCTTGGGAGCAGGATGGCTCGTGATGGCTTCTCTCATTGCACTTGGCAGCGAGGGCTGGCGATTCCCAGGCCAGGGCTGTCCTGTGGCCACACGTGTTACCCTCGTAGCACGGCGAGAACAGGCTGCTCACCCTGCCCTGGCTGCCAGAGCCCAGCACAGCCGCCTTCCCCCCCTGCTCCCAGCTGCCGAGGCAGGATGGAGCTCCCAGTCGTGTCCGTGTGCGGATGGGTGTGTGCGTGTGTGTGTCTGCAGCTGGCACTGTGACACTGTCACTGGCTGAGGGTTCAGCAGGGAAAAGGGCAGAGCTGAGGTGGTGTGTTGGGGTGTGACCTGTGAGCGCTGACCCGGGCACAGGGTCCTCCCGTGCCGGTGACAGAGTCTGCGGCCTCGTGGCGTTGTTGTATCCCAGGTGTCACATGGTGGAAAAAAACATGGAGTGTGCTGTAACTTTTCCATGTAAAGCAATCGAACTGGCATTAAAGAGGTTGTGAATTTATTGGGATTGGGCTCTGTGGCTCCACTTTGATTCTCTGTGGCAAGGGGTGCAGTGAGTCCCTGGGCCCCCCCGGGTCTGTCCCACAGCTGCTCTGCAGGTACCAATTCCTTGGTACAGCTCTCACCTGAGGTTTATTGCTCCCAGCTGCCCACTCCTGTTTGCTTTCCTGCTTCTGGGAAAAAGGAGAGGCACAGCCTTCCCCCCCACCCCGCCATGCCTTATGCCCCTCAGCATGGACAAGGAGCTGGCAGTGCCTCACTTTCCCCACCTTGGTGGGTTGGGGAAGCCCCAAGGCCCCTTCCAGCCCAGAATGGGACTGAGCTTCAGGGCTTGGGGTGGATCCTGCTGTGCCCCCCAGCTCTGCTCCCACCTCCAGTGCCTGTGGGACCTCATTGTCCCCACCATGTGCCTGGATCCCTGCATCTCCTGCAGCCCCTTCCTCTGCCAGGTGGGCCCTGTCCTGGGGCAGGGTAAGAGCTGGGGACCTGGTCGGCTGCAGGGCCCTGGGGCTCCCTGCTACACCACCCCCTTCCCCTCTGTTCCCTGTTGTCACCTGCACCTGGGGGCTGCTCAGGGTCTTCTGCTGCTTCCTGGACCCCCAGAACATCAGGACCTGGAGCTGCCTCCCCCCACCAGCCAAAGCCCCTGGTCCTGCTGCGCCCTGGCCCATTCTGGGTAGCAGGGGGACTGTGGGGACTGGTTGGTGCTTGTCCTGTGGCATCTGGCCCAGCAGATAATAAATATTAATAAAGGTTTTATTAATTTTTATTAATAAATAGTTTGTTCTCTTTGCCCCTGCGTTGCCTGGGCCCAAGCCCCTCTGCCTGCCCCTGCTGGGCAGGGAGGGCTGGGTATGAGGTGGCCCCAACCCCTCCCCATGTGCTGCTCATGGAACCCCTGGGACTCCCTGGGTTCCCTCCTGCTGCAGCTCAGGGTGGGAGACACAGGGGGAGCGAGACAGAGCCCCACACCCCCTCTGGGCTTCCCAGGCACCATGGGAAGCTGGAAGGCACTTGGTGATGGAGCCCCCTGAGAGGCAGAGGAAGGGGTTGGGGCAGCCCCTGTGCCCCCTGTCCAGGGCATCGATGACGGTGGGTCCTCACTGGCCTCACGTGTTCTTGTACCTGGGCAGGGGGAGGCAGACTGAGGGGGGTCTCTGCTGGGCACAGAAGGCCCCCCACCCCTGGTCACTCACTGCTGTGGTGGGTTGGGGCGTGGCTGAGCCCCTGCAAATGCCAACTGCTGCTCCAGCTCCATGATGCGCAGCCCGATGTACCCCGAGGACACCAGCAAGGCCACCATGCTGGGGGACAGCCAGTGTCACCCGGGGGGCACACTGGGGGGCACAGGGCTCAAGCAGTGCCACAGCCAGGCTCCTGTGTGCTCGCCCTGGGGATGGGTGTCCAAGGGGGGAGTAGAGGAACCCGGGGCTGCCAAGGGGGATGAGGACTGAGGGTGTCCTGAAGCCCCAAGGTGTTTGAGCAGGTTCTGGGGACTCACAGCAGCAGGTAGATGGTGATGATGATGTTAAAATGGTTCAGCTGGGGGCTCATCCGGGACCAGAGTGCAGTGGCCTGGGACCAGAGCATGGTGTGGGGTTCCCCTGCCAGGACAAGGCAGTGTCAGTGCCTCTGCCAGAGCTGAAGTCTCAGCAGCACCTCCCTCCCCAAGCCCCCTGACCCACCCCAGAGGCTGCGTGTCCCTGCCCAGGGCACCCGTTTGCTGCTGCTGGGGGTCAGCAGGGCCACCTTGTCATCCTCCTCCTCTGCTTCCCTTGGCCTCGGGCTTGGTTCATCTGTGGATGACCAGGAGGCATTCATGAGTGTCCCAGGGAGAGGACTGGGGGTCCCAGGGGCACACAGAGCCACAGAGAGCTAATCCTGCTCTCCCTGGTGCCGCGGGAGATGCTGGTCAGGGGGCCAAGGGCTGTGTGGTCCCCCCAGACCGTGTGTGTCCCGGGAGGGGGAGCAGAGCCCAGAGGGGCCAGCAGGGCAGGGACGTGGGTGAGGACACCAGCAGGGCTGGGACCATGCAGGGAGTGCACCAGGGTGGCTGCTCACCCAGGCACTCGTGGAGGCTGTTGGGCTCCGGGGTGCTCTGCTCCGGGTCCGACTCGCTCGAGGTCTGGAAGAGGACAAGCCCCAGCCATGGTGTGTGTCCCCAAGGCACCCCACGGCCATGGGGACATGGGCAGAACCTGATGACACTCATGAGGAGAGAGCTCTGGGGGTCCTGGGGCCTGCACTGCCCCGGGCTGGGGCTTTTCCACTCCACTCTTGCCCCAGAAGCCTTCCTAGGGGCCACTGCCCCCAGCCCACCCCAGCCAGGGGGGTGGGACTGGGACCACCCCTCCCTCTGCTGCATCCCCCTGGACGCAGGCCCGCCATTCCCCGGCCTTACCAGAGTCTTCTCAGGGGTTCCCTCGTTGTTCACCGAGTTCCGAGGGCTCTGGCCTCTGTCCTGGACAAAGAGAGATGAAGGGAGGTGCCCTGCAGTGGATGGACGGAGCTCCCCCCATCCAGCCCCCGCGTACCTGCAGCTGTTTGCAGACCGACCTCAGGAGCTGGTACGTGGCCTCTCGCTGGCGCAGCGACACGAAGAGGAACTGCCGGGAGCGGGGAAGGGGCTTTGCACTGGAGCTGCTCCCTCGGTCACAGCCCAGGGCCCTCGGGGACCGGGACACCCCAAACAGCCCCGGGCGGAGCCGCTCCCCCCCAGCACCGCCCCCGCTCTCACCTTCTCCCCCTGGGCCGTGCGGATGCTGAGCGCGTTGGGCACCAGCAGCGCCGTGTTGGTCTTTTTGAGGGCTGAGATGGAGGCGACGGGGATCACGGCCTGGGCCGGGGGGGGGACGGGCAGTGTCACCGGTGTCACCGTGTCCCCAGCTGCCACCCGCGCCCCCCCGCCACAGCCCCGACCCCGGCCCACCTTGATGTCCTTGAGCAGGAGGCTGGAGTGGAAGCAGACGTGTCGGGAGGACACGTAGAGGCGGCCGTGGTAGGGCACCTCTCTCTGCCAGGCGCACGAGAAGCAGCCCAGCAGCGCGTCCCTCCCGGCGAGCTCCCCGAAGGCCCGGCGGTAGCTGCCGTCCCGTTTGCTCAGCTGCGGGAGGTCGGGGTGGGGGTCGGCATGGGGGGGATGCTCAGGGGCATCCCAGAGCCCCCCTGCTCTGTCACCGCCTCTGCCTTCTCCTTCGGCCCCCGCCCTCAGAGAGCATCGGGCCGGGACCGCGGCACTGGGGCCGGGGTTGGGGTCCCCCTCCTCCGCCCCGGCACCCCCAGACTCACCGCGGGGGATGGGGGTCCCTCCCCGCCTGTGGCCGCCTGCCCTGTGTCCTTGCAGGAGGGGTCATAAGTCTTGGATCTGGAAGGGAGCAGCAGGTAGGGGTGACCCCGGGGGCACAGCCCCGGTGGGGCTGGGGTGCAGGTACACCCTCGAGGTGCAGCACCCACCTGGCGAGCTTGGGCTGCCCCAGCCGGGCGCTTCCCGTCTCCTCCAGGCTCTGCCACTGCTTCTCCCCCAGCACCCCCCGGACGCTGCGCCTCAGCTTCCCCGGCATGAGGGACGAGCCCGACGGTGCGAGAGAGGCGGCAGGTTGTGGGGACGGTCCGTCTCTGCAGCGCGGCAGCTCCCAGTGTCACCAGCCTGTCCCTCCGCCGGGGCTCAGGCCCTGCTGGGACCGCGACAGCAGAGCCCACCCGGTCACACGAGCCCCTGGCCCGCCCCACGGTGGCGTGTGCGGGCTGCGACCCCCGAGGGCAGCGCGGACCGCGGGTGACGGGGCTGGTGACCCCCGGACCGGGAGCTGCCGGGGGTGGTGACACCTGGACCGGGAAGTGCCGAGGGTTTGAGACCCTCGGCGCGGGGGGTGCCGGCCCTGGGCCACGGCCGGCGCTGGGTGCGGGGGGTGTGTGGCCGGGCTGGCTCCGGAGGGGACGGGGAGGCGGCTCCGGTCCCGGACCCACGCGCGGCCGCAGAGCCCCGTCCCGGGCACCCCGTGCCCGCCCCGCTCGGTACCTGCTGGTGGGCACTCCCGGGACCCCCGTCCCGCCCCGTCCCGTCGGGGCTGTCCCGCTCCCGCTCCTTTCAGCTCCGTTCCTGCTCCGCGGCCGCTGCCGCCTCCTTCTCCTCCTCCTCCTCCTCCGAGGAAGGGCAGCGGGCGGGGCCGGGCGGCCGCGGCAGGTTCGAAGGGAGCGGCCGGGGCAGCCCAGCCCGGCTCACCCCAGGGCTGCACGGCGTGACCACCAGCCCGGCTCCCGGGGGGCTGCGGGACTTGTCCCACCACCCTGCCCGCTGCCCCCGGCACCGAGGGGGTTGTGCACGGGACCCCCCCGGCACTGGGTGGGACCCCCACGGTCAGCCGGGGCGGTGGGGAGGGGCACTGGGGGTTCTTGCCCCGGCCAGGGAGCGGCACGGAGCAGGACCCCGGCCGGGGAGGGGATGGGAGCATCCCCAGGGCTGGCTGTCCAATGTCCACAGGCTGTCCGGTGTCCTCGGTTGTCCGGTGTCCCCCGGCTATCCCCGTATGCCCCTCTGTCCTGCTGCCTCTCCTGGACCCCTCGGCGCGGGGCTGTCTCGTGTCCCCCGCCCGTCCCCTGTCTCCCCCCTGCACTGCCCCGAGTGGGGACCCCGTGGGCGGGAGCTCCGCAGGCACCTCTGTGACGCCGCCCTCGGGGCAGGGGGTGTGCAGGGAGGGTCTCAGCTGCCCCCAAAACGAGCTGCGAATGCATCCCCCTCCCAGGTAGTGCTGACGGTCGGAGCAGCACAACCTGCAGTCCTACGGCGTTTTGCCATTCTATGGACACCCCACAATCCTATGGCACCCCACAATCCTATGGCACCCCAGAGCGTTGCCCACCTGGTGCCCGCTCCTTGCCCCCCCAAGCCCAGGCAGTGCAGGGCAGGTCTGCCCCTCACCCCGGGGGTCTCTGCTGTGCAACAGGGGACCCTCAGAGGAAAGTGGGGAGGGGGTGAGGCCAAGCAGAGCCAGGCCTTCACCCCCCTCGGGCACTGGGGCAGGTGCCAAGGCCACGGGACCCAGCCCAGCTCAGCCGCTGCTCTCTGGACCAGGGCTGGAAACGCCCTTCCCACAACCCGGGCAGCTGCGGGAACAGCCATAAACCAGGGATGGCCCCGGGACAGCCCGATGTGGGTGACAGTGTGGCCGGGGGGTTGCAACCCGCGCCACCCCCTTCATCCCCCAGGACCCTGTTCAGTGCCCCACACACGCTGTGTCACCAGCTGACAGGGTCTGTCACACCCTGACACAACCCCCAGCCCCCTCCCCAAACTGCTCACCCTCCACTCACACCCAACCTGTGTCCTGGTGTGCACACACCGACACCCCCACACCAGCCCCAGCTCCGTGACAGACCCATCCCTGGGGTGTCCACCCAGCACACGGACCTGTGAGGGCAGACAGAGGGGCCCTGGAGACCCCGAGCCATGGAGCCAGGCTGGGAGAGCTGGAGAAGGGAACACTCCGGGGAGAACTGAGATCCCCTTCCAGAGCCTTCCAGGAGAGCTGGAGAAGGACTTTGGACAAGGGATGGAGGGACAGGACAAGGGGGAATGGCTTCCCATTGCCAGAGGGCAGGGTGAGATGGGATCTTGGGAAGGAATTGTTGGCTGTGAGGGTGGGGAGGCCCTGGCACAGGTTTCCCAGAGCAGCTGTGGCTGCCCCTGGATCCCTGGAAGTGTCCAAGGCCAGGCTGGACGGGGCTTGGAGCAAGGTGGGATAATGGAAGGTGTCCCTGCCCATGGCAGGGGTGGAACAACCCAAACCATCCCACGGGGCTGTGCAGAGGCCCCTTCCCCCAGCCCCTGCTCGCAGTGTGCACACGCAGCACATCCCTGCACACGCGTGGGTACGTGAACACATATACGGGCACACACACATATATGGGCACACACGTGTGCACAAACATACACACACCTACTGGCACACAGACACGTGCACACACACGTGTATATACGCACATGTGCACACACGTGCGCACACACGCACACACGTGTACATACACATGTGCACACATACACGCGCACACACACACATATGTGCACACGAGCGCACGCGCACACACACGTATTGCCACACACGCCCCGCCCCCATGGCCCCAAGGTCCGCCTTCATTGGTTGCTCTGCCCCGGGGGGGGCGGGACAGTGGCACACGAGCCAATCCCGTCTCTCCAGCGCCGCTCCGCGGCCGCCATTTTGTGTGCGGGCGCGCCGCCATGTTTGTTGAGGGCGGCCATCTTGCACCCCCCCGGCGCCCCCTCCCCGCGGGACCAGCGCTGGGGAACCCCCCAAACCCCAAACCCGCTCCTGCCCCACCCCCGGGGTCCGCAGGGCCGAGCCCATCCCCAGCCCAGGGGCGTCGGCGCTGCTGTTGCTGAGTTTTCCTCTCCTTTTCCTCCTCCTTTATAAAGTGCGGTTTGTACGTACTGACCTTACAAAAGCAGGTTAAAACCTCGGACCAGCCCCCCCCCCGCGAGCTGGGGCTGCCCCGGCCCAGCCCGGGCCCTTCCAGTGTTCGGTGTGCAGGTGGCAGGTGACGTCCTGCACCGGTGACACCCTCACCAGGGACATCCTTCATCGGCCCCAGGGGAACAGGCTGTGGGGACATGAGTCCAGTGCAAGGAGACAGGGCGGGGGTCAGTCACTCCCCTCCCCAGAGCCTGGTGTCCCCCAGCGTGGGGGACCTTCCGGACTCGGAGTGTGGCACCGCAGTGGCCGAGGATGCGGTGGCCGAGGACATGGCCCTGAGGATGTGGTGGCCGGGGACATGGCCCTGAGGACACGGTGGCCGAGGACATGGCCCCATGGCTCAGTTGACGGTGCCACTCTGGTCCCCTCCCTCTGTGCTCTCAGTCCCGGTGTCGGGGGTCCCAGCTCCGCTCAGCCCCTGCAGCCTGACAGCACCTGTAGGGAAGGGAGGGAGCAACAGGTCAGGAGCCATGGCGGCACAGCACGACCTGCCACGTGCTGGCCTGGCCTCTGGACTCTCCTGACACTGGCAGCAGGGGCCTGACCTGGCACATCCCCAAGCAGCACAAGGGGTCCGTCCTGTCCCCCCACCCTAAGCAAGACACTGGCACCCAGCTGGCAGCAGCACCAGAGCTGGGGTCTTTGGCCTGGCAAAGGTCACCCCAGCCCCACATGTCTCCCCAAATGTCTCCCACGTTTGCTGCCAGCACACAGAGCTGCTCCCACCGCCCCTCCGGGCCCCAGCGTGGCCATGGCTGGGCTGGGCTGGGCTGGGCAGGGTGGTTCTGCCAGCCTGGGGGCTCTGCCCCCCACGAGGGCACAGCAGGCAGACACAGCCCCTGCTCTGGGGCAGCAGCAGCAGCAGTAGAAGCGGGACAGTGGCCCTGCCCCATGTCCTACCATGAGGGTCCCCCTGCGAGCGTGGCCGCAGCCAGCCCGGTCACAACAGGGTGATCGCAACTGGGGCCATCTGCAAAGACACTTCGGCTTTAGCCCAGGCTGGCACTGGCCACGGGGCTCCCCGTGCCCCCAGGCCTGTGTGGGCCCCCCTCAGTCCCCGTCCCCACTCACGGTAGCGGACGCGGATGGGCCACACCATGATGCAGCAGAGCATGGCCACGGCAGCCACGGCGATGCCGCCGGTCACCAGCACCATCACCCAGCGGTAGAAGCTGACACAGGCGGAGCAGCACAGCTCAGTCCTGGGGGGACAGGCAGGGACAAGGCTGGGGGACAGCGGTCCCGCGTCCTGGGAGTCAGGACCGGCTCACACTGGGATGTGAGGGAAAGGAGAGAAGGTGGCAACCCAGACACTGAGATCCCCAGAGCACAGCTTGGGCTCTTGTCCAGGGCCAGGAGGGAATGTGAGGAAGGGTTTAAGACAAATCAGAACTGGAGAACTGAAGGCTCCAGGGAGACCTTAGACCTTCAGGTATTCTCTCTCCAAGAGAGCTGGAGAGGGACTTTGGGCAAGGTCTGGAGGGACAGGACAAGGGGGAATGGCTTCCCACTGCCAGAGGGCAGGGTGAGATGGGATACTGGGAAGAAACTCTTGGCTGTGAGGGTGGTGAGGCCCTGGCACAGGTTTCCCAGAGCAGCTGTGGCTGCCTCATCCCTGCAAGTGTCCAACATCAGGTTAGATGGGGCTTGGAGCAACCTGGTCTGGTGGAAGGTGTCCCTGCCCATGGCAGGGGGTGGAACAGGATGAGCTCTTAAATCTCTTCCAAGCCAAACCATCCTGTGATTCTAAAAATCAGAGCTGGTTCCCACCCGTGCCTGTTGCTCCAACCCTGGGATATTTGCTCCTGGCCCCCAGGCAATGGTGGGAGGGGGGGCCCTGCCCCACAGAGACACTCACGGGCAGGGATGCAGGTTCTGGATCAACATCACAGCCAGGCCATTGGCCATCTTGTCCGTGAAGCTCATGGCGCCGTAGACAAACGCGCTGCTGTGCTGCAGGAGGAGAGGGAACCTCAGCGGGCGCCGTGCTGAGCTGAGCTGTGCCACACAACCCCGCGGGCACCAGCAGCAGCCGGAGCCTTGTGCCCTCTCATGGGCAGAGCCCACACTGCAGCACAGCCCAGCACAGGCTCA